GGATTGGGGGCAGGAGGAGAAGGGGACGACAGAGGATGAGATGGCTGGATGGCTTCACCGACTCGATGGGCATGAGTTTGAGTAAACTCTGGGAGTTGGTGATGGACAGGGAGGCCTGGCATGCTGTGATTCATGGGGTTGCAGAGTCGGACACGACTGAGCGACTGAACTGAACTGAATGGGGAAATAGCGCTCCATGCAGATAGAAGATGAGGGCAAAGGTTTTGATGTGGTGAAGACTCAGTTCTGATTGAAAAACACCAAGGAGGCTGGGAAGGAGGGGGAGGAGGAAGAGAACGAAAGGAGAGAGTAGTAGGAGATGATGTCACAGAGGGAACAAGAATGAAAGATCTTAAACAATGGTAAAGACTACTTATAAGGATTTGGGCTTTACGACGTAGTATGGGAAGCCATTGGAGGATTTTGAGCAGAGGAGAGACATGACTAACCTATAAACAATCATTGTGGCTGCTGTAGACTACATGAGTTGGACTAATAGGTGGACTAATGAGTTCAAGGAGTCAGGTGTAAGGTTGAAAGCAGGAAGACCAGTTCGTGAGACTTGTAATTCCTGAGTGAGGTAACTTGGACTAGGGTGGTAGCAGTGGAAGGTGGAGAGAGCAGAATTAGGATTTTAGGTATTTTTGGTGGTAGAGTCAACATGATTTCCTAATGGATGGGACGTAGGGTGTAAAAGAAAGTGAAGTGTCAAGGATAAAGAATTTTAAATTTTTGGGCCTGGACCCCTGAAAAAATGACATCATTTCTTGATTTGGAGATCACTAGAGAAGGGGCAGATTAGGGCGGAAAACAACAGGATCTTAAATATGGATGTTCTATGTTTTATATTACTCTTATTCTTTGTATCCTTACCATTTGTGAGGTCTACTAAGGACTGCCAGAGTTAAAATCTTTCCTTTGCAATGGTCTGTCTGTCTCTGGTATTTCCTGCAGTCATTGCTATGTACATTTCAGTGCTATTACTGAGTATTTAAATTTGCATATGGAATGTACCTGTTTTGCTCAAATTTGCCTTCTTGATCATGTTTTTTACTTTGTAGTATTTTTGTTTTTTGTTTAATATTAACATTGTGGTTCCCTACTTTCTTTTGGTTTGTTGTTTTTTTTCATTCTTCCTTTTACTTAACTTTTTTTCTGTTAGTATTTTTTTCCTCTAATAAATGTTTAATAGATATGCTTTGTTACTTCTTTGTAAAGTTGGTAGACAGTCTCATATGTGCTAGCAAGCAAGCACTCAGAAATTTTCTTTTTTTAATACAATCAACAACTAGTCAAATAGTGAAAGTCTTGAGTCAATCTTTTTTCCTTTAAGCTATTTGGCTATTGCTCTTTTTCCCTCTTGATAACTAATTCTTATGAGTAGATACTTTAAACCAGCCTTCTTTTTTCCTTTGTAGATAACCTGTTTCTTTCATTTTCATGCTTATTAGACTTTGTTAGTCTTTGAAATTCTAGAATTGTCTCTCTGGTTTTTTTTTCTTTTTCTCTTATACTTTTTTGGGAAATAATTTCAGATCTACTCAAATACCATATCCTCTTCATCCAGATTCCACAGTTGTCAACGTTTTATAATATTTGTTTCATCTTCCTCTCTGTCACCTCTACATAAATGTTTATATATGTTTATTAGTCTTTTTCTGGACTGTTTGGGAGCAAGTCACATACATATTTTTATGTATGAGTGTGCAGACATGATACAAGACAAGAACATAACCACTCTTCAGTGATCCAAGTCAGGAAGTCACCGATAATATGACACTAGTCTTCCTTCATTGAGTCCATGTAGATTTCATCAGGAGTTCAATCAGTATTACTTTTTCTCTCTGGTTAAGGATCCATTCTAGGATCATGGGTTGTTTAGATTTCATGTCCCTTTGGTTTCCTTAAGGGATAGTTCTTTAGGCTTCTTCTTTCCTGACCTTGACGCTTTTTAAAGAGTACAGGCTTTTCATTTTTAGCATGACCTTAAACCTGAGTCTGTCTAATACTCCTTCATGATCAGATGTGAGCCATGCATATTTGACAGAAATGCTACAGAAATGATGCTTTTGTGCATCATGTTAGGAGGTAAATAGTGATGACCCCGGAGAAGGCAATGGCAACCCACTGGAGTACTCTTGCTTGGAAAATCCCATGGACGGAGGAGCCTGGTGGGCTGCAGTCCATGGGGTCACGAAGAGTCGGACACGACTGAGCAACTTCACTTTCACTTTTCACTTTCATGCATTGGAGAAGGAAATGGCAGCCCACTCCAGTGTTCTTGCCTGGAGAATCCCAGGGACAACGACTGAGCAACTTCACTTTCACTTTTCACTCTCATGCATTGGAGAAGGAAATGGCATCCCACTCCAGTGTTCTTGCCTGGAGAATCCCAGGGACGGGGGAGTCTGGTGAGCTGCCGTCTATGGGGTCGCACAGAGTCGGACACGACTGAAGTGACTTAGCAGCAGCAGCAGTGCTAACCCATCTTCTGGTGATTTTAATTTTCATCACCTGTTCAAGATACTGTCTTTCAGGTTTCTCCACTCAGATAGGGTTTTTCTCTTTGGTAATTTGTAAGTATTTTGTGGAATGATATTGTGACACTACTTTAATAACTTGTCCTTTTCAAATTTCTACACCAGTATTCATATCTTTTGAAAAATCTCACCTGAATTCACTAATGATGGTACCAAACTACTATTTTATATTTTCCTAATTCTTTCTCTGTTATTTAGTTTGCATGTTAAACATTTATTTATTCATTATTCATTTATTTATATTATTACAGACTATTGCTAGGTTCCTATTTTATTCAGTGGGTTGTAATCTTTATCATTTGTTCTGGTACTCAAATTGTGCCAGATGTGGCTAGGAGGAAGCATCCTTTCAGCTGGTCCTTGTGATCTTTTGTCATGTTTTTATCTTTTTTTTTTAATGCTTTAATTTTGTAGCATAAGATGTTCCAGACTGTTTTCCCTGTCTCTACTCTGGAATCAGTTATTTTGCCAAAGGAACCTGGTGGAGGGATGACATTTAGAAACTTAGATTTGGGTACTAGGTGTGCTCATTGTTCCTGGGATATTACTGCTTCTAGGCTCTCAGTAGACTGAGACAGGCAATAGATACACACACACATCTGTGTACACTGTACATACATAAGCATCTATATCTACTTCTGTGTTTATTCAGGCAGTCCTGGCTCTACTGCTCTTTGTTTCATTGTGCTTCACAGATTTTGCATTGTTTACAAGCTGAGGTTTTATAGCAGCTCCGTATCACACAAGCCTATTGGCACCGTTTTCCAGTGGCGTTTGCTCACTTAGTGTCTGTGTAATGTTTTGATAATTCATGCGATATTTCATTATTCCTGTGATGATCCATGATCAGTGGTCTTTGTTACTGTTGTAAAAAGTTCTGACCTACAGAGGACTCAGGATGATGGTTAGCATTTTTTAGCAATAAGGTATTTAAAATGCATTGATTTTTTTTTTAGACATAACACTTTTACAGACTTAACAGACTACATTATAGTGTAAACATAATGTATTGGGAAACAAATATAGTGTATTGGGAAACAAATATTGGGGGAAAAATAGTGTAAATATAATGTATTGGGAAACAGAAAATTCATGTGACTCGCTTTATTGCCAAATTTGTTTTATTGCAGTGGCTCAGTGGTAAAGAACTGCATGCCAATGCAGAAGATGCGAGAGATGAGGGTCCGATCCCTTTGTCTGAAAGATCCCCTGGAGAAGGAAATGGCAACCCACTCCAGTACTCTTGCCTGGAGAATTCCATGGACAGAGGAGCCTGATGGGCTTCAGCCCATGGGGTCACAAAGAGTCGGACAGGACTGAGTGACTAAGCATGTGCGCACTGGAAGCACACTCTCAGTATCTCTGAGGTGTGTCTGTATTACACGCATGCACGTCAGTACCTCCAACTCCAGTCCAACACACTTGACTTTTCCTTTTCCATTTTAATAAACCCTTTCTCAAAGATACTGAGAAGCCTGACTCCCATTATCTTCAGTATATTTTGCTCATTTGCTTTGCTCCTTTTTTGGCCCCAATAGCTGCCTCTAAGGCAAACTGCTTTAGGAAATTTCCGAGAATTACTAGCTCTCTACTTGTTCTAATGGGAATTACATGGGAGACTGGATTTTTCGTTTTTCTTTTTGATAATAGCTTTATTAAGATAGGGCTTCCCTTGTGGCTTTATTAAGATAAGGCTCCCTTATTAAAAGATATACTTCACATACCATACAGTTAATCCATTTACAGTGTATATAATTCAGTCATTTATAACTCACCACAGTAGATTTGGACTCCCCTGATGGCTCAGTGGTAAAGAATCTGCCTGTGGATGTAGGAGATGCAGGAAATTCGAATTTGATCCCTGGGTCACGAAATTCCCCTAGAGAAGGAAATGGAAACCCATTCCAGTATTCTTGCCTGGGAAATCCCATGGACAGAGCATCCTGATGGGCTAAAGTCCATAGGGTTGTAAAGAGGTGGTCATGACTGAGCACACATGCAAAAAAAAAAAAGCAAAAAAAAACAGTAAATATTAGAACATTTTCATGATCCCCAAAAAGAAGCCTTCTACTCTTTACCTGGGAATAAAATGAAAGCTTAGACCTGCTTTTCAGGAAATGTATGCTATATAAAAATTGTATTAAAAATCTCAGGTGGTTCATTGTATGTTCAGTGTTATAGTTTCAAGTGCTGCATAACTTACTATACAAATTTTAGTGCCTTAGTTTAACAATTTATCTCTCATAGTTCTGTGGGGTGACTTAGGTGGGCCATTCTCATTTTGGCTCTTTCATGCATTTATAGTTAGATGCAAGCCACTGGGGCTGGAGTCATTTGAAAGATCAACTGGGCTGGAAGTCCACAATGACTTATTTACTTATATATTTGATATTCAGCTGGGATGGCTGCAATAACTGAGGGTTGGCCAAGCATCTCTTTTCCTCTGCATGGCCTTTCCACATGGTTGTTTTGGGTTTCCTCACAGCATGGCAGTCTTGGGATGGTCAGTCTTCATAATGGTGACTGTCTTTCCCCAGACTGAAGTTCCAAGCGATCCAGGTGGAACCTGAATGTCTCCTGAGGAATTAGCCTTCAAAGCCCCAGAATGTCACTTCTGCTGCATTCATTAGTCAAGCAACTCACTGAGGCCAGTGGAGTTTCAAGAAGACAGTTAAACTTTGCCTGTTGATAAAGGAAAAGAATTAATGACTGCTATGTTTAGATGCTATTTGCCACACTAATTGTCACCCTGCCAACTAAATTCAGTACACTTGTGCTGTTTAAGAATTGTAGGTTGCATTATTAAGTCAGCAGTTGTTCGTAATCACACCCAGCATTTTTATCCATCCAGTGGCTTATTTCACTTGAAGTCCACAAGCAATTTAAAACCTGTTGTTTTTGTTACTTGTAACCATTATCCTCTTAAGATATATTCATTATAACAAAACCTGTAGATGTGTTATACTGGTCTCATTAGCCTTTTATCCTCAGCAGTGGAAAGCAAAGGGAGTAATAAAATGCATTGTTGGGTTGAATTTTTTTTTTTTTTAATATTTATTCTGAAGTTGACCTAGTACCTACTTGAGCCATTGCTCATGATATTTCTTTTGCAATTTACAGATGATTCAAGAGGAGAAATATCTAATTCAACACCAGAGAGCAAGATGCATCACAAATTAGGTAAGATCATTTTTCCCTTAATATTTTCATATTATTATAAAATCTCTGTTTCTAAATATAATTTAATTTTTTCTCAAGTAGGGGAAATATTATTTGGATTAATTGTCAGGTAATGTAAAACTTCATATTTTGTTTCATTAATTTCATGGTAAATCATCACATGCCACAGAGTTTCTTTATTGTCCATTTATAAATCTTGTAATCCTCTCACTCATTGCTCAGTAGTAGGGAGCTGATCTTACCTAATGTAAGAAGCTAGGGTAGAGAATTCTATAAAATGTAACTTCTGGGTAGTGGCATCCATGACAACTTCTCTGATTTTTTTCCAGTTCACACCTAAACAGAACAGTAACTAGGATAAGTAAGCCAGGAGCTAAGGAACCCATGGAGAGGCCCACTTGGGGATTAAGATTCAAGCAGCCTCTCATGTTTGGAGGATTGGAGTGGCTTTTTATTTTTCTCCCTATACTTAAGGCTTCTGCATTTATACTTGACAGGACCTATAGGGATGAAGCTCTCTCCACCAGAACCTCACATCTTGTCAGTTAGTATTTTGTGGGTCCATGTGAAGAGAGACTGCTGTACTTCGCAATATTTAATGCTTAGCTTCCTAGGTGGTGCAGTGGTGAAAAATCCACCTGCCAATGCAGATGACGCAAAAGATGCAGCTTCTGTCTCCCAGTTGGGAAGATCCCCTGGAGTAGGAAATGTCACCCCACTGCAGTATTCTTGCCTGGAAAATGTCATGGATAGAGGAGCCTGGTGGGCTGCAGTCCATGAGGTCACAAAGAGTCAGACACACTAAGTGCATGTGTGCACACACACACACACACACACACACACACACTTGCTTGACTTGGAGTGGAATATGCTGGGAGTCAGAGTAGGCAAAGAGAAATAAAAATGTCCCTGAGAAGGTCTGCAGCAACACAAGAGAGAAAAATCAACAGTAGACAAATTCTAGTGAGCCAGAACCTTTGTAGATAAATAACAGTTTTAACAATGAAGGAAATATGAGTATTTTCAGAAATTTAGTTATATCACAGAAGACTTTCTGGTTGCTAAAGCATAATTTTTCAGTTTAAAAAATCAGTACATGAACTGATAAATAAAGATGAATACTATTGAGTGCTAAATTAGTAGCTGGTGTTGACATGGAAGAAATTTATCAAAACAGAAATACAAAAAAGATTGAAACCATGAGGAAAATATAGGCAATGGAAATAACATGGAGACAACATAAAAAAAAATGCAAATAGAATTTTCAGAAAAAAGAAAAATTAAAATACTACTTAAAACTTTCCTGGAATAAAGATAGACTTGATCTGCAGTTTGAGAGAATTTATCAGCTGCCAGTAAAAATTAATGAAGAATATACACCTCTAGACAGAATTGAATAAAATTTTTAAATTTCAAGGATAGAGGAAAGCTTCCAAGACAGCAGTTATATATAAAGGAGGGGGAAAAAAAAAGACTAGCATTATTCATCTTTGTAACTCTGGAAAAATAAAATAGCCTACTTTCAGAAATGTATTACAATCCATGTTATAACTAGCCAAGATATCTTTCCTTCTGATAACTGAATTTATTTTGCACATAATGCAAGATTATCATCCTCCATGGAAAATAGCCATGTAAGGTTATTTAACCAAGTAGCATATAAATCAGGACTGAGTTCAAAGAGAGGAGAGAATTAGGAATGATTCTTAATATATGGTTAAATTTAAATAATGTATACTTATTTTCTGTTGCCATGTACCAAATTACTACAGATTACAACATGTTTGTTATCCTGTGGTTTCCATGGGACAGGCGCTCAGGTACAAGTTAGCTGGGTTCTCTGTTAAAGGGTTTCACAGGCCGCAGTCAAAAGTGTCAACCTGGACCATGGTCTTATCTGAGCTCAAGATCCTCTTTCTAGCTCATGTGGTTGTTAGGAGAATTCAGGTCCTTGGAATTGTAGGACTGAGATACCTGTTTTCTTGGTGTCTGTGAGCCATGGGCCTGTTAATTTCTAGAGGTCACCTGCAGTTCCTTGCCACATGACCCTTTTCATAGACTCTTTTCTCAGTGTGGCAGCTTGCTTCTTCAAAGTAAGCAAGGAAGAATTTTTCTCTGCTTCTGCTAGATAGTGTCTTATGTGTAGAATCATGATATAGTCACAGGAGTGACTTCCCTTTCCTTTTGCCATATTCAGTTGAGTAGTATATCATAAGTTCCACATGTATCCTAGGGAAGGGTTATCTCATTGCTCACACCTGAGGGTGTGTCTACTACTTAATGCTAATATGATTGAGGATTTATAAGTACTAAGTAAGAATTTTTGCAATGATAATTTGAAATCTGCACTATCTTAACAAAACTTGGTGTAATGGGGAAGAGAGTAGGAGTGGCAGAGGGGTGATAAAAGTAGTCTAAAAGTTTTGTTTTACCAAGTGAGAGAAGAAAGATGATGATAAAGGAATAAGATGATAAGGTAAAGAATATAGTTTTCAATATAATCATAGAGAAATGAGTATGATTTGAATGGCAGGAATAGGAAGGTAAATTAGACTGAAAAAGTATAGTAAAACTTTGAAATGACCAAGGTTTGGAGTATGGGGAAAGAAATGATATTCTGACCAAACCAATGAAAAGGAGGGGAAGAAAAGAATCACTGATGTAAAATAACAAGTAAATGTAAAATGGAAGGAATAAAAAGAACCATATTTGTTATACTAAATAAGCATGAATGGATTGAATTCCTCTAGTAAGATAGAGACTAACAGATTTGGTTAAGCAATACAAACCGACCTATATGTTTATACGAAACACTTAAAACAGGTTTTAAAATAAAAGATTATCAAAGAATTAAATAGAGTAATATAAACAGAAAGTAGTGATGCATTTTAATATTAGGTGAAGTGAAATTTAAAGTTAAAAATGTGAATGGAATAAAGGACTTGTAATAATAAATAAGCAATTTATTGAAGAAGATAGAAAAATCATAAACTACTATGTACCAAACAGCCTAGCAACTAAAATGTATAAAGTAAAAAAAAAACCTGAGGAAAAGCAAGGAGATTTTAAGCAATACAGTTAGAGATTTTGATAAACCACATTCAGAATTGGAGAAATCCAGCAAACCAGAAATAAGAAAGAACATAGAAAGTTGATTATATAGCCAGCAAACTTAGCATGTAGAACTTTGCATTGGTAAGATAAAATGAGTAGATACGTGTGTATACACACAAATACATGCGTCTATGACTACCCTGAGTAACACATTTCCTGTTGGGAACATTTAGATGGTTTTCAGTTTAACTTCTGTTTTCGGTTCCTTTCTGTTTCGATTCCATAGTATACACAGTACTACTATGAATGTTTTTATACCTAGATCTTTGCCCATTTTTATGACTGTTTTGCAAATTCATTTTCTAAAAATGAAATTGCCATCTCAGAGTATTACAATTACAGATATTGTTGGATTGTCTTCAGTTTATATTTCTTATCAGGAATATATGAGAATTTCAGTGTACCTTTAACATCATTAACCATGAATGTTACCAAATTTTTACATCTTTCCAATCTAGTAGTTTATTTTTTCATTGGCATTTCTTTACTAGCCCAAATATATGTTAAAATTTGTATCTCTAGTGTTTTGTCTAGAAGCATTCCTATTCTAGAAAGTAATATCAGTCTTTTCACTGTGGAGTTTCATCCAGCTCAACATATGTGTATATTTTTGTCTGATGTCTTTTACAGTATTGCCCTCCAACACACCAAATGTTCGCAGAACTATGAGAACACGATCAAAACCTTTGGAATACTGGCGAGGGGAACGAATAAATTATCAGGGAAGGCCATCAGGTAAAATTTGTATTTTGGTGTCTCAAAATAAAAAATAATAATGATAATTGCTCTAATTTATTTAGATATGTGTTGTGCCAGAAAAGTGAAAGTCACTCAGTTGTGTTTGATTCTTTGTGACCCCATGGACTGTAGCCCACCAGGGGATCTTGTTGACCTGTGGATCGAACCCGGGTCTCCCACAGTGCAGGCAGAACCACCAGGGAAGCCAAGTACTGTATAACACTACAAGTATAACATTACCTTATTTAATCATCATCCTCCAACGGTGTGACAAGAATAGATTCAAGTCCAGGTTTCTCTGATTACTATAGAGATGCTGATTTTTTTTTTTTTCTCTTTGCTAGCAATTTGAAGTGATTGTGTAGTTTTATAGAGTGTTCCCAGGTGGCTTTCCTAGTGTCTCAGATGGTAAAGAATTTGCCTGCTATGCAGGAGACCCAGGTTCGATCCCTGGGTTGGGAAGATCCCCTGGAGAAGGAAATGGCAACCGACTCCCATTATTTTTGCCTGGAGAATTCGGTCGACAGAAGAGCCTGTTGGGCTACAGTCCGTGGGGTCACAAAGAGTTGGACATGACTGTGTGACTAACACTTAACCCAGGTGGCCTAGGGGTAAAGAATCTGCCCGCCAAAGCAGGAAACCCAGGAGATGCAGTAGGTTCGATCTCTGATTCAAGAAGATCTCTTGGAGGAGGAAATGGCAACCTACTCCAGTATTCTTGCCTGGAAAGTTCCATGGACAGAGGAGCGTAGCAAGCCACAGTCCATGGGGTAGCAAAGAGTCAGATAGGACTGAGCATGGAGCACATTATTTTTATACAATTCAATAAGATTTCTAATCGCATAAAATGAAACATTAGATCAGAACATGAGAAAATTTTAACTGGAAAAGATTAAATATTCCCCATTATTATTCTCATTCCATTTTCTTATCATATTTCGCTACAAAAATTATAGAGGGTGGGAAAGAAAATAGTGTTATATTAAAGTTACTTCCTTTTTTTTAATCGATATTTCTGAGTCAAAGGACTAAACTGACGTGGATTATTATAAATAGTTCATTGCTAATCTTTGTGTCCTTCATTTTTTATACCTCCATTGATGACTATTTATTTCAAGCAATAGAGATCATTCAGTTATGTTTCATTAGTATGTCTAGATTTAGGATAGTGGTGATGGTTTAGTTGCTAAGTTGTGTCTGACTCTTGTGACCCCATGGACTGTAGCCTGCTAGGATCCTCTCAGGCAAGATTACTGGAGTGGGTTGCCGTTTCCTTCTCCAGGGGATCTTCTGACCCAGGGATTGAACCCAGGTCTCCGGCATTGCAGATGGGTTTTTTACAGACTGAGCCACCAGATTTAGGATAGTAGAGAGACTTTTAAGTGAAATTGGTTGCTATTTGTGTTACTTGAATTAGCTGTAGGGTAGTAATAATAATGTATTCTTCTGTGCTTTGAAAGGAAATGTGCTGTATTAATGTAATGGATTTTGTTTCAAGATTTTCACTTTGCTAGGTATGATAATATACCTTTTCTGGGGTTAAATTTCAGGAGGATTTGTGATTGGTGGAATACTGTCCCCAGACACAGTATCATCTAAAAGGAAAGCAACAGGAAACTTGGGAAGAATCATTACAACAGCTAATAGGAAAAGAATCTGTCTTGAAAATGATGAAAGAAGTATGAACTTTTTCCTTATTTTAACTAACAGTGTTTTGAAAAATAGCTCTTTGCAGATTTTGAAATGTGCCTCTAAAGGTTTCAGAATATAATAGTACTTAAGGGTAAATTCTCTTTTTTTAAAAAAATTCTCTTTTTAATGTCTACTTTTCTTCAGATTTTGAAAGTAAACTAATTTTATTCTTTTAAAAAAATCATTAATATCATAGTGTAAAACATTTCCACATGGGTAAATTGCACTGTCAAATGAAACTTATCTTGTCTATGCATCAAAGTGGTCATTGATAAACAGGAAGAAATATGCCTCTTCATTCTCCTTTACAAACTTGTCCTTAGCTCTGTTTCATACTAGATTTTTTTTAATGGAAAAGAGTTTTAAGTAAATAGTATTTCAGTGATACTTCTTTTGCAGAGAATAAATTCATGGTAAATCTGAATATACCTCTGGGAGATCCTCTGCAGCCAACAAGGGTAAAAGACCCAGAAACACGAGAGACTGTTCTTATGGGTAAGCTCAGATTGATTCTGAGAATGCTTAATTTAATATCTAGTAAGGACAAAATGTTTGCTTGAAGGCTGGCTTTTCTACTTTCCCTTTCTCTCCTCAGATCTTTCAGAGCCAAAGTCCAATAGCAAGTCTGATTCAAATAAGTAGCCTGTATGAGGACTACTGTGGGGAAATTGATGGTAGACAACCTCCAGGGACATAGAGTACCATGCATTGGTCCTCTGCGATACAAGTGCTACCATCAGGAATGTTGCCTCCTCCAGTAGGATCCAGGCCTTCTTTGATCAGGAGGACACTTGGGGACAAGGGCTGTTGTGGGGGAAAGTGAAAGTCAATCAGTTGTGTCCAACTCTATGCGACTCCATGGACTATACAGTCCATGGAATTCTTCAGGCCAGAATACTGGAGTGGATAGCTTTTCCCTTCTCCAGGGGATCTTTCCAACCCAGGGATCGAACCCAGGTCTTCCACACTGCAGGTGAATTCTTTACCAGCTGAGCCACAAGGGGAGCCCAAGAATACTGAAGTGGGTAGCCTATCCCTTCTCCAGTGGATCTTCCCAAGCCAGGAATTGAACTGGGGTCTCCTGCGTTACAGGCAGATTCTTTACCAACTGAATTATCAGGAAGCCCATTCAGGGGAAATTGTAGCAAATTAACTGGCAGACTCCTGGATACCCTCTTACTGTGAGATCAGGTAGGGATTGTGGCTGGGTTTAGACAGCCTTTGGTGCTGTGTAGCAAGGACATCAGTCAGTCAAACAAATGTCATGTTTAAGGCAGACATAGGGTCCAAAAGCCTCCTCCTGCACTTAACAGGTACTAAACATTTAGTGTCTAGGAGACCATTGGAGGTCCCAAGAGATGGGCTATAGTGTGGTGGGGTTAAGTAGTGGACACTCAACTAATTCCCAACCAGGCAATATTTACATACAGGAAATACTTAAGTGTTTTAACAACTGTCATGACTGTACTAGTGAGTACTGAGGACTATTTATCTAAATCAAAAGATAAATATGTCAAAGCAGAGAGACAGTTTACTCTTAAAATTTTGATTGTGGAATAGGTTCCATTGATATCTTAAGTAGCAAAGATATTTCTATATTCAGTTGATTTGGCTATAGAGGGAAAAGTACAGAGAATATTTTTTTTAGCGAAGTGTCTTAACTGAAAACATTGCTATACTGTATTAGTAAAAAAGTTGTGTTTTCAAGAATTCATCACTTTTTGTTTGCTGAGCATATGTATTGTCTATATCGTGTCGTCTGTGGGAGTATAGTTGGAAGCTGATGATAAAAAATGTATTAATTATACATCTGGAAAAGTTTGTAAGTAAAAGGGAAATTTAAAAAATGATATAGTAATTTGGAAGCTACAGTTAGAACTCTGGTTATTTAGAGCCTCTACCTGATAAATAAAAAATACTGTTACTTAATCAGTCACAAAGGTATTTATTGGTGTGATGATGATACATTTGTAGTGTGGCTATGTTATATTGAACTTTTTAAGAATAAGGAGTCTTTTCTTGTCTCTTAGCTGATTTTGTTTTCCATCTGAGTTATTATGGGGGAAATAATAATACCGCCATTGTTAATAATAATAATATTATTAGCAAAGCTTACTGAATGCTTACTTTGTACCAGTGTTTTAAATACTTTATACACATTAACTCATTTGATATTTCCAACTCTAACATAGATAAACTATTTTTATCACATTTTATAGAAAAGAAAAGGAGATGGAGGATAAGCAACTTGGCTAAGGTCATTCAGCTTGGAAGACAAAGATATGATGTGACCTTTTTAGGTCCAGAGTCAGTGCTCCTAATCACATCTATCTTTCTAGGACAGGTTTATGTTTTTATTTATGAATGTGTATAAGAGATGCAGGTTTGACCCCTGGTTTGAGAAGATCCCCTGGAGAAGGGAATGGCAACTCACTCCAGTATTCTTGCCTGGAGAGTCCCATGGACAGAAGAGCCTGGCTGGCTACTAACAGTCCACAGGGTCACAAAAAGTTGGTTGACTGAAGTGACTTAGCATGCACACACATGTGTGTGTATGCTATATGAATGAGCAATGTTATTGCTATTACTTTATACTTATATTAATTTTTTTCCTTTAGATCTTATAAGGCCACGAGATACATACCAATTTTGTGTTGAACATGATGAGTTGAAAGTATATAAAACATTGGATACACCGTTTTTTTCTACTGGAAAATTGATATTAGGACCAAATCAAGAAAAGGGAAAGCAGCATGTAGGCCTTGATACATTGGTGAGTACATTTCTCCATATATTGATATATATGTTTTGATCTTGGCACAACTTTGAGTTATTGGGCTTGATGAAGCATTAAAAATCTATTTTCTCAGAAATGATATTGTTACTATAGTACATAGGTAATTTTTTAGTTTTTTTCATCTGTTTAAAATCAGTCAACCAAAGGATATTTAAAAGTACTTGTAGTAGTGTAGCAATGTAGCCTTGAGATTTAGAAGTTTAGGGAATGGTCTTAAAAATATCTTCAAAATTAGATTTGCAAACAAGTCATTAGAATTTTAGGGCTGGAGAGGTTAATTGAGATTAAGTCTAAATCTGATTTCTCCAATCATGAAGTTTAGAAATAATTTAAAAGACTTCAAAATCATGTAACTGATTAACAGCAGATTGAGACTGGGAACTAGTCACTTCAGTAAGTACTAAATAATGTATTACCTGGGTTTCCCCGGTAGCTTAGCTAGTAAATAATCCGCCTGCAATGCAGCAACCCCTGTTCGCTCCCTGGACTGGGAAGATCCTCTAGAAAAGGGATAGGCTGCCCACTCCAGTATTCTTGGACTTCCCTGGTGGCTCAGACAGTAGATCATCTGCCTGCAGTGTGGAGACCTGGGTTCTGTCCCTCGCTTAGGAAGATCTCCTGGAGAAAGGAAAGGCTGAAAGTGAAGGTGAAGTCGCTTAGTCATGTCTGACTCTTTGCGACCCCATGGACTGTAGCCTACCAGGCTCCCCCGTCCCTGGGATTCTCCAGGCAAGAACGCTGGAGTGGGTTGCCATTTCCTTCTCCCTGGTGGCTCAGTGGTAAAGAATTGCTTGCAGTGCAGGAGATTGCCTGCAGTGCGAGACATGAATTCGATGCCTGGATCAGGAAGATCCTCTGGAGAAGGAAATGGCAACCTGCTCCAGTATTCTTGCCCATGAACAAAGGAGCCTAGTGGGCTACAAGCCTTGGGGTCACAAGAGATGGACACAACTTAGCAACTAAACCACCACCACACCACCACATAGCATGTAGAATCCAGGTCTAAATTATTTAAAGGTTTTCTTTGATCCAGTCTTAAAATGTTGTAGATCTCCAGGTCATATTAAAAGAGTAAAACTAACATATTAAACTAACTGAAGTAATAGATAATCCCTGTGTAATCATTAAGAAACAGTTAATAATGAAAATAAGCATTATGAAATGTCATCATTAAACTAATAGTATTAATACTATTAATAGTATTAATAAGATATAATGTTTTTATTCCTTTAGAAGGGAGGAATATTGAATATCTAGTAAATATTTGAAAATGTTTAACCTGTCTAACATTCAAAGGAATCCTTATTAAAAATAAGGCATACTTTATAATTACTGAGTTTAGTAGACATTTTTGGATTTATAATTTGTAGACTTATAACTATAACCTATAACTGATTTGTAGACTTTCACTTATGAATGCCATTTGAGAATTTTTCCCTAGGAAAATAAAAGCTAGGGAACCTGAACATAGGTAATTACTTATTTTAACATTGAGAGTAATTTCTGACATTGGAAACCACTGAAATGTGCTGTGGAAAGAAAATGCTTACATGTATCTTTTGACTTAGTAATGAAATAAACCATTATATATAATAATCTGGAGGAGGAAATGGCAACCCACTCCAGTATTCTTACCAGGAAAATCCCCTGGACAGAGGAGCCTGGTGAGCTACGGTCAATGGGGTCGCAAAGAGTCAGACACGACTGAGGCAGCTTAGCACACACACATATTATAATCGGTTATATAGCACTTACATATTCCAGGTATCGTATGAAACATTTTGAAGAATAACTGTATTGGAAGAATTTTCTATCTGCAGTTTGGTTAAATGTTTATCCTTAAAGGTTAATCCTTAAATGTTTATCTTGCAAATTGCAAGATAGAACATCCTTTTTGTTTTTTTCTGACTAAAATAAAAATTGAAAATGACAGAAATTTGAAGGAACTATAGAAAAATAACATGTTAGTAGGTGATTATAGTTTATTTTTATTTCTTCTAAATATTGCCTTTAACTTTTTATAATGAAAATCAGAGTTAAATTTTTTAATAATGGGAATATTTTTACATTTTTGAAAGAATGAAGCACACTTTTAAATATATGCTTTTGAGAAGCAAAAGGGCAAGATGGAGACCACTAATAAGGGAGAAAGTAGCAGTGGTAGATTTAGTAAAATCAAACCACAGAGAAATTAACAAGTTAACTGTGGGAGTTGTGGAGCTTTCCTAGAAGACAAGAGGATATTAAGAAATGGAAAATATTAAAGTTAGATGATATGGAAGAACAGGTTAAAACAGAATCAAGAAAAAACCCAAATGAGCAAAAGGGAGAAATATTTGAAAAAGCAGACAATAATTGTTCCAGAACTAAAAGACCAAAAGGTGACACAGCACACTTAAAGGAACCAGAGTTCCTTAAGAAATGTCTGATCCCAGGCCTGGAACTAAGCTTGGAATATTTTATCATATCTGATAGCAAACTATCAAAAACCGTTAGGATTGGGTCATAAGGTTTCAGAATCCAGCTTGAAGATGCTTTCTCTGGACAAAGATGTGAAAACTTGAGTATCAATAAGAATAACTTCATTGGGTTGATAGATATCAATTATATCTAAATCCGTGAATTTGTAAGACTACTACAAAAAGAAAAACTTATTTCATCGCTGTTGGCAAATACTATGACAACTCTGACAACAAATATGGCAAATAAAGGGAAATAATTAAACATTTATTCTGCTGTTCTCATATAAACTGTGCTACTAGGTAACCAAATAATAGAGGAAGGGAAGTTTACCCTTTTAGAAATATTCCAGTTAATAAAAGAAGGAATGTTAGGATGGAATATTACCATTTTACAACACCCAGTAAACTGATGGATATAGCATCATCATACACTAACATCTAAAAAGAACACAGCCAAACATTATGTGCCTCCTATGGAAGAATACAACACTGCATATGAAATAATCCTTCCCCACCTCCTTTAAAAAACAAAACAAAACCTGCACATAACACCACCTGAAGTTAAGTCCTTGGATCTAGCAACCAACTTATAGGAAGTAAAGAATAGCAGACTTTACAAATGACACCCTGGGTTTACCCAGCAAAATCTAGCTGTGCAAAGATTTTTAAAACAAATTTTGCTGCTTGATTACTTACTAAATAAGATGCAAGGGATAAAAAAGACAACCAAGTGGAATGTACAGAGATCAGGGTTCTCAACGATGGCACTGTTGACATTTTGTTACCCTGTGCCTTGTAAGATGTTCACAAGCATCTCGGGCCTCTCTGCACTAGATTCCAGGAGTGCTCTAGTGTGACAATTAAAAGTGTCCACAGACAGTACTACTTGTCCTCTGAGGGGCAAAATCACCCCCAGATTGAAAACCATGCCATAAACTGAGTGTTTTAAAAGATAGGTCAAGCACTGACCGTAGATTAAGAACTGACTCTTCGTTGGATCTCAATTGAAACAAACCCTTTTTTTTTTTTTTACAAATGAAAAAGAAAATTTTATTTGATTAAATTATTAACAGCTCTTATTCAAAAGACTATAAAGAAAGCCTAAGCAAAGAAAGCTTAAGCTAAAACTAGGACAAAATACTTGCCATATAGATAACCAACAAGTGATTAGTATCCAGAATGTAAATATTTTAAAATTTCAAAGAAAATGATAACTCAATAGGAAAGCAGATACGTTATTAAAAAAAATATTTTACAGAAGCAAAAACTTAAGAAGCAAATAAACATGTACTAAAAATGCCCATACTCTCAGTGAAAAACAAATCAAGGAGTTATACATTCAATCTAATTCCATTTATATAAATTCAGAAATATACAAAATTAAAAAGTTATTTTTTAAAGATCCAATTTTGCCTGGTAAGAACTGTAATGAAAACAAGAGAATAATAAATATAAAATTCAGGACATTGGTTATCTCCATGGATATTTACGAGACAATTGGAATTTTGAATATTCAAATTCAAATTTAATATTAATACTAAATATTTATTTTTATGTGACAACAGTGTTGTCGTGTTTTAAAAGAGGACTTTGATCTTTCAGTACACATTGAAATACTTACAGGTGATTATGGTGCTGGGCATTCATTTCAAAATAATATGGGGTAGGGAAAACAGATTTTGAAGAGAGGGTTATTGGGATTTGATATTTATTTGTGGGAGAGTGTCATTCTGTTTTTGTGTATTTCAAAAGCATTCTTAGTAAAATGTTTACAGAAATGGAGAGAGGTATGCTTAGAGAGCCAAATTGAATAGACAAGCAAACAACATTTAGAAACGTATACTTGACCTCTGGGTATAGTGTGTGTTACCTTTTTTTCTTTTTTTTAAAGGCTATTTTTGGTATATAATAAACATTTATTTCTTTTATTAAATTATAAAAGTACCTTTAGAACCACTTTAAGAACTTTTTTTTCCTTTGAGGGAGTATATTGTAGTGACTAAGAACATGGATTCTGGAGTCCAAGTACCTGAGTTCAAATTCCTGCTCTTCCATTTACATTGTGACCTTGGAAATATACACTCTTTTGTGCCTCATCTTCTTCATTTGTGAAAAGCTCTTAAGATAGTGCTGTCTCACTGATAGATGCATACATTAAATGAATAAAAATGAAGTGCTTAGAACAGTGTCTTGCATGGTGTGGGTGCTGTGTAAGCTCTATCTGCTCTTCTTTTTCTGGTATTTTAGGCTCATTTTACAAAAGTGGTAAGAAAAGGAGGAGCAGGAGGCATAATTCTCTGAAGCAAATATTCTTGATGGCTAAATCTCAGAATTTGAATATCAAAGTTTGAGGGCCCTACATTTTGTATTTAGTTGTCAAAATAAAACATTATTATCAGGTGCTATCTCTGTGTAAAATGTAAAATTTGCCCTGCTTGACTATGAAAGCCTGTACAATTGAACACTACATTTATCCTCTTTTACTTTCTTAATGTTGATGCTTTAAGTGTACTTAAAAAAATTTTTTTTATTGATCTTTTAGGTTCATCAGTCAGAATAAGTTACATATACCAAAGCATGTAACCTTTATAGATATACATAAAACCTAGCTACTCTTCTTAAGTGATGTTCTTTACAATGGTTCTGAATAAAAAAAAAACAGTAAATAATAACAAAAGAAATTTCTGGTATTAGTTTTCTGTATTACTGCTTTACTTAATTACTACACAATTTAAACAACATTCATGTATTATCTCATAGTTGTATAAGTTAGAAATTGGGTGGGCTTGACTGAGTTCTCTGCTTAAAGTATCACTAGGCTAGAATCAAGATGTCCAGAGATCTATATTCCTCTCTGAATGCTCTTAGAATGAACCTGCTTTCAAATTCATTCAGTTTGTTGGCAGAACTCAGAATTTTAAGACTGAGGTTCCTGGCCAAGGTGTCTAGAAATAGCTTACACTCCTTGGTTCATGACTGTCTTATCTTCAGCACCAGCAACGGTGAAAGTACTTTTCATGCTTCAGATTTCTCTAACTTCTCTGCTTCATCTTCTCTCTGCTTCCAGTAGGAAAATTACTCACTTTCACATAAAGTTTATGTGACTAGATTGGACCATTATTCTGCCTTCAATGTTTACTTTAAGTTTCTTTGGAGTGTAGTTGTATTACAATTTGAAATTGAGATTTTAATTTTTAATTTTCCAGGTTTTTTATGTTAATCTTGGTCACCTTTTATGTACCTTACATGAAACACCTTATATAATAACAACTGGGGATTCATTCTATGTTCCTTCAGGTAAGAGTAATTAAAAACTTTTTCTTTCACATAGTTAAATACTTGTATAGCTGTTCATGAACACCATGAAAATGGAAACCACAATGGTCAAAATGAAGCATGATGCAACTGATGTCAAATGTTTTGGTGCATATTTTAATTTTTTTGTTTAGATAAATGTTGGTATATAAGTATTTTGATACATGAAAATTGAATAAGAGTTGCTAATTGCTGAATATAAAAATACTTAGTTAGGAGATATGTTGTCTCCAGTGTAGAAGGAAAATTATTTCCCCTATGCAAGGACATTATATAATCAAACAATTTTTAGTTGGTTATTTTAAACATACAGAATAGTGTCCTTCATCAGCTGTTGAAGAGCAAAAGTCTTTGAAGTAGGAGTTTTAGTTTGTTCATTCATTCATTTAACAAATGTGATTAAGAGTCTACTAAACATTGCTTTGAAAGCGGGATACATAAATGAACAAACAGGCAAAAAATCCCTGCCCTTGTGGAGCTTATATGCTAATGAAAAAACAAAGCTATAATAATAGCTAAGTTTATGTAGTCCTTTATATGTGCCAACACTGTTGTGAACAGTTTAAACTCATTAACTAAGTTAATCCTAATATGTATGAATTTCTAATAAAAAGTCTAAGAAAAGTCACAGTATTGTACTCAGCACTATAAATTTGCCTTATGCATAGCTGTCCATGTGTATTTTGCATTTGCTGTTATTTATTATATAATTTATTTGAGTTACATTTGCTGCCTTTTAACTTTGAAATTTTATTTTACATTTATACTCTACTTATCTTTTATAAGTATCTTTTATACTTATCTGTATATTGTCTATGTCTTGTTTAGAGGAATCCATAGTGGTTCCAAAGACCTAATAATTGTGTTCAGTAAGTTAGACAAAGACAGGTACTGTTTGTTTTCATTTATATGTGGAATCTAAAAAATAAATGAATATAACAAAGCAAGAACAAGAGTCATAGAGAGCAAACTAGTGGTTACCAGCAGAGAGGGATAAAGGGAAGGGACAAGATAGAGGAAGAGGAATGAGGTACACACTGCTAGGAAAATAAAAAGATAAAACAAGGCTGTGTAGAAAATATTTTATAATTTCAAATAGTGTATAGTCTACAAAAATAATTGAATCACTGTTGTATGCTTGAAACTAAGATAACATTGGAAATCACCTAAATCACCTATACTTCAGTTAAAAACAACCACCCCAAAACATGATTGGGCTCAGAGAGAGATTTTTTTTTTCCTACCTACACCTTTGTCTAATTTGCTTTTGCATTCATTATTAGAATGATGTGAAGTTTGTTTGTGTTTTTTCAAGCTTTATCTAGATCATAGGTGGTGGTTAACTGTTAGATTTTTCAGTTTGTAGAATTAGATAAGAGTTATTTGAAGTTAGATGAGTTAGTTTTTTTGACACTATATATTGTAACTGACATAGTGATGACTAAATATTTAATCAAAAGGAAATGATTCCTATGGAAGTAATTTTTAATTTTCTTATTTTATTTCTAGGTAATTATTACAACATCAAAAATCTCCTGAATGAGGAAAGTGTTCTTCTTTTTACTCAGATAAAAAGTTGAAAGATGAAGCAAAGTTTAAGTACATGTGTATATATATAAACATACATACATATAAAACACATTGTGCAGTTGAGATGGCTATATTTGTAATTGTTAAGTTTTAAAATTTCTGTGTTGTATATTTGTTTCAGTAAACATCAAACTTCTATATGTATCTTCTAATTTTTACAGATATACACATCACCTGTAGTGTTGCCCATATTCATAGTTTTTAATAACATGAATACCAAAATCACTGCTCTCGGGGATATACAGACAAACCTTGGAAATGTCATGGGTTTGATTCCAGACCACCACAATAAAGCAGATATTGTAATAAAGTGAGTCATGAATTTTCTGATTTCCCAGTGTATATAAAAGTTATATTTACATTATGCTATCATCTGTTAGGTGTGCAATAGTTTTATGTCTAAAAATTAATGCATATACCTTAAGGAAGCTAACCATTATTGATTCCTTCAATGAGTCGTCATCATTTTTCTGGTGGTGGGTCTTGGCTTGATGTTGATGGCTGCTGACTGATCAAGGTAGTGGCTGCTGAAGTTTGGAGTGGCTGTGGCAAGTTTTAAAAATAAGACAGCAACTTTTTTCTAGTTATTGTGGCACAAGGCACCATGAGCAGTGAAGTCTCCTGTGACACTCTGTATGGAGACAGTGCAGGAAGTCCTGCATTGAAATCAACACAAGTGTCAAAATGTTCTGAAAATGGTGGATCTTCAGATCAGCCTGAAGAACTGTGACCTCAGAAGGACAAACACTTCTCAGCACCGTCAGGCTTAAGTTCATTCCCCTTAGCAAGTTCTCTGTATATGTTCTGGGAGACCAGCAGCACTGTGATGAGTCTGACTGTGGATAAATCTCCCACATGAACATCAAGGCACTGAAGAAACTCAATAAGAATAGAAAATGGGTCAAGAAGCTAGCCAACAAGTATGACTTTTTGACTCCAGAACCTCTGTTTAAGCAGGTCCCACAAATCCTGGGCCCACACCTGAGTAATATTGGCAAATTCCCTTCCTTGCTGATCCAGAATGAGAACATGATGGCCAAAGTTGATGAAGTAAAGTCCATGATCAAGTTTCAGAAGAAGATGCTGTGTCTGTTAGTGGCTGTTGGCCATGTGAAGATGGATGATGAGCTTGTGTACAGCATCCACTTAGCTGTTAACTTTCTGGTATCATTGCACAAGAAAAGCTAGCAGAATGTCCAGTTTTTGTACATTAAGAGCACCATAGGCAAGCCCCAGCGTCTGTATTAAGGCACAGCTTAACTGCCTTAAGCCAGTTAATGATGCTGCAACCATTAAAAAAAAAAAAAATCCACACTGCTCAATTGCTGCATCTATTGACTTTCCCAAATGATTTCTCTGTAACATGCCAGTGTTTTTTGATAGTTTTCCATATAGAAGAACTTCTTACAAAATTGTAGTCAGTCCTCTCAGATCTTGCTACTGCTTTATCAATGATAAAATTTGAAACTCTTAGTTGTCATTTTAAACAATCCTGTCATTTTGACAGTCTTTCTGACATTTTCACCTGGAATAAATTCCATGTCAAGAAACAACCTTCTGTTCTCATCCTTAAGCAATCTTGATCTTAAGATATCTTAGGATATTGTAGCAATTATCACATTGCTTCAGACCCCACTTTTGATTCTAGTTCTCTTGCTGTTTCCACCACATCTTCAGTTCTTCCTCCACTAAAATCTTGAACCATTCAGTCATCCATGAGGGTTGTGATCAAATTCTTCCAGACTTCTGTGTTCATGTTGATATTTTGACCTCTTACCATGAATCACGAATGTTCTTAATGGCATCCTTTCCATAAGGTTTTCAGATTGTTTTGTTCAGATCCACTGGAGAATTCATTATGGCAGCTATTGTTCAGTAGCTAAGTTGTGTCTGATTCTTTGTGACCCCATGGACTGCAGCCCACCGGGCTTCCCTGTCCTTTGTTTTCTCCTGGAATTTGCTCAGACTCATGTCCTTTGAGTCAGTGATGCCATCCAATCATCTCATCTGCTGCTGCCTCCTCCTCCTGCCCTCAATCTTGCCCAACATCAGGGTCTTTTCCGGTGAGTCGGCTCCTTGCATCAGGTGGCCAAAAGTTTTGGAGCTTCAGCATCAGTCCTTCCAATGAGTATTGATGGTTGATCTCCTTTAGGATTGACTGGTTTGACTTCCTTGCTGTCCAAGGGACTTTCAAGAGTCTTCTCCAGCACCACAGTTTGAAAGCATCAGTTTTTCAGCACTCAGTCTTCTTTATGGTCCAGCTCTCACATCCATACATGACTACTGGAAAAACCATAGCTTTGACTAGATGGACCTTTGTTGNGCTCTTTAGTTTTTCTTCAGTTTCTGCCATAAAGGTGGTGTCATCTGCATATCTGAGGTTACTGATATTTCTCCTGGCAGTCTTGATTCCAGCTTGTGCTTCATCCAGCCCAGAGTTTTTCATGATGTACTCTGCATATAAGTTAAATAAGCAGGGTGACAATAAACAGCCTTAACGTACTCCTTTTCCTATTTGGAACCAGTCTGTTCCATGTCCAGTTCTAACTGTTGCTTCCTGACCTGCATACTGATTTCTCAGGAGGCAGGTCAGGTGGTCTGGTATTCCCATCTCTTGAAGAATTTTCCACAATTTATTGTGATCCACACAGTCAAAGGCTTTGGCATAGTCAATAAAGCAGAAATAGATGTTTTTCTGAAACTCTCTTACTTTTTTGATGATCCAGCAGATGTTGGCAATTTGATCTCTGGTTCCTCTGCCTCTTCTAAAACAGACTTGAACATCTAGAAGTTAATGGTTCACATATTGCTGAAGTCTGGCTTGGAGAATTTTGAGCATTACTTTGATACATGGTGTAGAGTTGCTATAATAAATTAACTAAAATGCCCAGTTTTCAACCATAAATGGAAAGGAATAGTGTGAGACATACTAAGAGGGAAAGGCAGCAATTAATGGAAACTGAGTCTGTATGGGCCTAGATGATAGGTTAGCAAAGACTTCAATTAGGAATTAATAGATAAGCTCAATAAAACACAAAATTTTAAAGTGAGTCAACAAAAAAATGTATAAATAACATAATCCATAGAGAAATATAGACTAAAAAGTAATCAGACTTAAATTATAGAGTTAAAAAGCATGGCTAAATTAAAAATAAAAATTATGGGCTCAATAGCAAACAGCAGAGATATTTTGGGATAGCAGAGATCATTTATATGAAGGTATATCAATAGAAAGTGCTCAGGGCTGGTGCACTGGGAAGACCCAGAAGGATGGGATGGGGAGGGAGGTGGGAGGGGGGCTCAGGATGGGGAACACATGTAAATCCATGGCTGATTCATGTCAATGTATGGCAAAAACCACTATAATATTGTAAAGTAATTAGCCTCCAACTAATAAATGAAAAAAAAAAGTGAAATCTAAAAAGTATACAAAGAATTTAAACAGATTGAAAAAATGAACATAACCCCCGAAAACCCATGATACAAGCATTCCAACAAGTGTAATGGGAGTTGGGGAAAGAGAGGAAAGAGGGGACAAAATTTTTATATTTTAATTTCATGTCTTCTGTCAGTGATTTTTGGAGCCCAGGAAAATAAAATCTGTCACCGTTTACACTTCTGTTTGTCATGAAGTGATAGGACTGGATGCCATGATCTTAGTTTTTTGAATTTTGAGTTTCAAGTGAGCATTTTCACTCCTCTTTCACCCTCATCAAGAGGCTCTTTAGTTCATCTTCATTTTCTGTCATTAGACTGGTATCATCTGCATGTCTGAGGTTGTTGGTGTTTCTCCTGGCAACCTTGGTTCCAGACTGTGATTCATCCACACCCTCATTTTGCATGATATACTCTGCATAGAAGTTAAGTAAGCAGGGTAACAATATACCTGGTGCTGCACTCAATGTGTCAGTAAATTTGTAAAACTCAGTGGCCACAGGACTGGAAAAGGTCAGTTTTCATTCAAGTCCCAAAGAAGGGCAATGCCAAAGAATGTTCAAACTAATGTATAATTGCTCTCATTTCACATGCTCACAACCAGTGAAAAATGGAATAAAGCATTGCATTTGTCATATTTTTCTTAGCTGTGGAAATTTAAACATGAATGAAAGTTAAAGCCCATCTGGCTGTTACCAAAGTTCAACGTACACTTTGTCTAAATTCACTGAGAACACTTTCTCCCCTGAATTCCAAAACCATCAATTCTTTGGTGCTCATTCTTCTTTATGGTCCTACTCTCACTTCTATACATGGCTGCTGGAAAAATCACAGCTTTGACTTCATCAGAAAAGTGATGTCTCTGCTTTTAATATGCTGTGTACATTGGTCATAGCTTTCCTTCCAAGAAGCAGGCGTCTTAATTTCATGGCTCCTCGCATTGTTAGCAGTGATTTTGTAGCCCAGGAAAATAAAATCTGTCACTGCTTCCACTTTTTACCCTTTTGTTTGTCGTGAAGTGATGAGACTGGATGCCATGATCTTAGTTTTTTGAATGTTGTGTTTCAAACCAGCTTTTTCACTCCTCTTTCACCCTCATCAAGAGGATCTTTAGTTCATCTTCATTTCCTGCCATTAGAGTGGTATCATCTGCATATCTGAATTTGTTCATGTTTCACCTGGCAGTCCTTAGCTTGTGATTCATCTACCCTTTCATTTCTGATGATGTATGTGGCATAAAAGTTAAATAATCAGGGTGGCAATCTACAGCCTTGTTGTACTCTTTTTCCCAATTTTGAACCACTCAATTGTTCTATGTCCAGTTCTAATTGTTGCTTCTTGACCCAGATACAGGTTTCTTAGGAAACAGTTAAGGTGGTCTGATATTCCCATCTCTTCAAGAATTTTCCATAGATTGTTTTAATCCACATAGTCAAAGACTTTTGCATAGTCAGTGAAGCAGAAGTATCTTTTTCTGTAACTCCTTTGCTTTCTCCATGATCTCACAAATGTTGGCAATTTGAACTCTGATTTCTCTGCCTCTTTGAAACCCAGCTTGTACATCTGGAATTTCTTGGTTCGCATACTGCTGAAGCCTAGCTTGAAGGATATTGAGCATAACCTTGATAGCGTGTAAAATAACTGCATTGTACAGTACTTTGAACATTCTTTGTCATTGCCCTTCTTTGGGATTGGAATACAAACTGACGTTTTCCAGTCCTGTGGCCACTGCTGAGTTTTCCAAATTTACTGACACACTCAGTGCAGCACTTAAACAGCATCATCTTAGGGTTTTAAACAGCTCAGCTGGAATTCCATCACCTCCACTAGCTTTATTCGTAGTAACGCTTCCTAAGGCCCACTTGACTTCAGGTTCCAG